TGTAATTGCTCGCGTCACTTGTTCTTAATATTACTATTAGTGAGATAATACAGTATCTTAAACCTGGTATATATCTTACAGTATTTCTTTCAGAAGTGGTATAAGAGTCCCGCTTCCCTCAAAGAGGCTTCCAGAAGTGTTACTACCCGTTAATTAGAAGTAATTTTTCTTATTAGTGAGATAATACAGTATCTTAAACCTGGTATATATCTTACAGTAATTCTTTCAGAAGTGGGATAAGAGCCCCGCTTCCCTCAAAGAGGCTTCCAGAAGGGTTACTACCCGTTAATTAGAAGTAATTTTTCTTAAAAGATTTCCCCTTGTTCCTTAAAGGTCAAGATCCCATATCTTTTATCCGCAGTTAAAGTTAATACGTGTGTGAAAGTTCCGCGAATTCAAACGGAAAGTTTCGCCAATAACGTGCGTGCGGTACACAACCGTTACGTGTAACCGACCAGTGAGTCACCCTGAGTAGTCGTCAAGGTCTAGTAGATAAACAAAATGGACCGGGCACAACTAGAGGAGATGACACTGGAGCAATTGAAAACAGAAGCTCAGAAATTTAATATCTCATTGGTAGAAGATAAATACAAGCTCATAGAAGATATCCTTAACTTCATAGAACGACAAAAGGTACAGACGCATTCTGCCAAATCGGCGGGCGCGCATAAGACAACGCAAAAGGCAGGGGACACACCGTCTAGTCTTTCACCAGCGTCGGAGCAAGTACGGCAAATTACTCCGGATGTCGCGTCACTTATCACAGCGCTGACAAATCCGATGCAGCAACTGCAGCAGCAGATCCTGGATAGCCAACAGGCGCAGCAAACTTTATTGCAAGAAATGCTCTTGGCTCTTACGGCGAGGATAGTTAACCCTCCGCCGGCACAAATGGAGCAACCAGTAACCGAACAGGAGTCTGCGTCACCAAGAAGCCACACTTCTTCGCAACCATCTCAGCGTACCACACTGTCGACGATATCTTCGTCACAAGCAATAACATTGCTTGCCTCACAGATACCCGATTTCGGAGGCACCGAATCGGAAAACGTCCAACTCTGGATACAAAGGATAGAGCAGGTGGCTAGAATCCATAGAGTTCCAGATGACGTCACATTGTTGGCGGCCTCCTCCAAGCTGACCAATATAGCCAGGAAATGGTATGACATAGGCAGCGGGAGCATGCTAGAATCATGGCAAGGATTCAAAGAGGCAATCCTTAAGAGATTTACCAGGAAAATTCTCTACCATATAGCAATTCAAAAAGTAGAGAATAGAAAGTGGAATTTTAGTAAAGAATCATTTCTCGAGTATGCAACGGAAAAATTGACACTAATGCACAATCTCGGTCTATCGCAAGAGAGCACCATTCACCTACTTATAAGTGGCATCGGTAGCCGTTCCTTGCGAGAATTAGCAGCGTCACTGAACGCGGCCTCAGTGGATGACTTCTTGGAAAAGATGCATCAGATAGCATCGGCATCGCTTGAGCACGATAAGCGCCACGATACTAAGTCGACGAAGAAGGAGACCGTCCACAAGCCCGGATACAAATCAGCAGTTAATGATAAGCAGACAGAGAAGGAGGGACCACTCGTTTGCGCTCACTGCAAGAAGCCAGGACATCACAAGGACAAGTGCTGGAGACTCCGCCGCAGAGACCAGATCGAGCAGCAGACGACCACAGCGTCCACGCCTGCGCCCACCCCTTCGATTCCAGTGGCTACAGTGTCCGTCGACGAGGTAACTGAAGAAGACTCAGTGATAGCATTTGTGCAGCAACCTAATGGTAAAAACATTTATATACAAACTTTAGCTTTAGAGGTTAAGTCGTTAAATTACGTTAATTGCAATTTACGCGCTCTCGTAGATACAGGTAGTCCTATATCTTTTGTAAAATTATCAATTTTTAATATGTATTTCGATACCGAAGTAATGCGTAATAAAATACCGAAATTAACTTATTGCGCGTTAAACGGTAAACCGGTTGATATAATCGGCGTAGTCGAAACCAGTATAATGCTTAAACAGCTGTCTCAAGAATTTAATATTGCATTAAACGTTATAAAACACGATAACTTTTTTACCGATATCATAATTGGTCGTGATTTTCTGGATACTCATTCGATCACAGCGATTTATAATCCGCCCAAGCAAAAACACGAAAAAGAAACGCAGACGTTTCCTGAAACTTTATTGCATACACTCGCATGCACTGAAGACAGCCGCGCTTGTAATCAATTCGACGAAATCGAAACTGACTTCAGCGCTGAATGCACAAAAATGAAGGATTTGCTTCTCAGTATTGATTCTGAGAGTATTAAAGTACATGATGATAATTATCGAGTTCAAGTTAGATTAAAAGACGATTCAATTTACGCATATGCACCACGTCGCTTCGCGCATATTGAGAAAGTTCAGATTAAAGAAATAACAGATGATCTTTTAATGCGAGGAATAATACAAAGAAGCAATTCTCCGTATTGCGCACGGGTCGTGCCCGTGAGAAAAAAAAACGGTTCTCTACGCTTATGCGTGGATCTTCGCCCGCTAAACCAGCGAGTCGAGAAACAAAAATATCCCTTCCCAATAATTGAGGACTGCATATCGCTCCTCGGAAATAAAACGGTGTTCACACTCCTCGATCTTCGTGACGAATTTCACCAGATTAAGGTCGACGAGGGACATACTAAATATTTCGCGTTCGCCACCCACGAAGGGCAGTTTGAATACAAACGCTTGCCTTTCGGTTATTGTGAAAGTCCGGCAGAATTTCAAAAACGATTAGTAAATATTCTATCGTCCTTTATTTCTGAAAATAAAGTCATCGTATACATAGATGATATCATGATAGCTACAGACACTGTTGAGGAAAATATCGATACGTTACGAAACGTTCTAAAAACTCTGAAAAGTCATGGCTTTGAACTAAACATCGCGAAATGTAAGTTTCTAAGAAAACATGTAGAGTATCTTGGCTACATAATTTCAAATAACAGCATCACGATAAGTTCACGGCACACGGATGCAATTAGACGCTTTCCGCAACCAAAGAACGTCGTGGAAGTCCAACGTTTCTTAGGGCTCACTAATTTCTTTAGAAAGTTTATTAAAAACTTCTCTCTTAAATCATCCCCCATTCGTAATCTGCTACGCAAAACGGTCGAGTTTAATTTCGATGCACAATGCATTAACGCTTTTGAAACGCTAAAAAACGAATTGACTTCGCAACCGATTTTAGCCTTGTATAACCCAGCAGCCGAAACGCAACTGCACACAGACGCCAGTTTGTCAGGCTTGGGAGGTATTTTGATGCAGAAACAAAAAAACGGCGATTGGAAACCCGTAGCATATTTTAGCCAATCGACCAATCAAGCTGAAAGAAACTATCATAGCTTCGAGCTTGAAATGCTCGCGATTGTACGCGCAATAGAAAGATTTCATATTTATTTATACGGAATCAAATTTACTGTGATTACCGATTGTAATGCATTAGTTTACGCAGTAAATAAAGCCAACTTGAACCCGCGGATAGCACGGTGGACATTAGCATTGCAAAATTATCACTTCACGGTAGCGCACAAGTCAGGCTTGAAAATGGCACACGCGGACGCGCTCAGCCGCATAACTTTGTACATAGACACGTTAACTATAGAACGGCAATTAGAAATTAAACAGTTATGCGACCCTTATCTAAAAAATCTCGCTAAAGAATTAGAATTCCGCGAAGACAATAAGTTTACATTAATCGACGGTTTAATTTATAGAAAGGACGGTGACCGCTTACTATTTGTGGTACCAGAATTAATGGTCACGAATGTCATTAGAGTATACCATGATGAAATGGCACATTGTGGATTTGAAAAAACCTATCAAGGTATTTCCAAAAATTATTGGTTTTCCGCGATGAGGAAAAAGATCGCAGATCATATCGATCAATGTATAGTCTGCCTCATGGCTAACTTCTCTTCACATTCGCGTGAAGGTGAAACACAATTAGTTGCAACCTCAAAGGTTCCTTTCGAAACACTTCATGTAGATCATTTCGGTCCTTTACAACAAACGTCCGGGAATTTTCGACACATTTTTATTGTCATAGATTCGTTCACACGATTCACGTGGCTCTTTGCAGTAAAAACAACCAAGTCCAAGGAAGTTAACAAATGCTTAAAAAATCTATTTGATACATTTGGTAAACCGAGGGAAATAGTTTCAGATAGAGGTTCAGCCTTTACCTCTAACGAGTTTAAACATTTTATAGAGTCGATGCAAATAAAGCACAGACTAATAGCCGTAGCATCCCCTTGGTCGAACAGTCTCGTTGAAAGGGTTAATAGATTTGTAAAATCATCATTAAGAAAAATAATTAAATCACCAGATGACTGGAAAAATTGGCTGAGTAAGACACAATACGTTATTAATAATACCCATCATTCTAGTGTAAAAAACACACCCTCTAAATTGTTATTGGGTTACGATCAGCGAAATCATACTGACTCGCAACTCACAGAACTCGTTAACGATCTTGCTCGAATAGATGTAGATTTGGAAACAGAGCGTAACACGATTCGCGACACGGCTCACGAAGTCACCGAAAAGTTGCGAAAATATAATAAGAAGTATCGCGACGCTCGTCATAAACCAGCTACGAAATATAAGGTTGATGACCTCGTAATGATACGAAATCTTCATGCAAAACCAGGGCAAAGCACCAAGTTTGATGTTCCGTATAAAGGCCCTTATCAGGTAACAAAAGTGTTAGATTTCGATCGATACGTGGTGACAGACATACCAGGTTTTAACTTATCGGCAAAGCCATATAAGGCGATATTGTCTCCCGATAAATTAAAGCCATGGATACGACCAGTGTAAAATGAGAACCACTGGACGTTAGTTTTAAGTTAGATATTAATTAAGTAATTTTGCAAACTTATAGCATTGTTAGAATAGTTGTCCGCAGCACATTGAGGAATTTATTCGAGGACGAATAAAAGGGCAGCATGGCCGAACTGTAAGAAAACATGTATGTATTTATTTTCTTGACATCGAACATTCTCGAATATCTCAGTACTCGGGAGCTGCTGACACCTACGTTAGCCGTTGTTACTCCGAAATCGAATCGGAGCAATCAGCAACGCCGTGCGTGCATACGTCACACGTCGTACCATGCTTCCACAAAACCGGCGTATCAGAGGACACGAGTCACTGCTTCTCTATCGTAAGAGAGGAGTCGTTGATTATCTCTGAAGCAGACGAGTACTAATCCTTTGTCTCGCGAACGATTAATCAATTTCGGGTAAAGAGAGGCGATTAAATTCTCTCTGATTCCTTCGGCTTCCGTCAAGTTGTATAACGCGTGTAGAATTAAGCGTTACAGTATTAATAACATTAATTATATTTCATTGTACAAGTATACGGGTAATAAAGTCAGTGTTCTATTACTAAAGTGTAAAGAGAGCTTTAACTGCAATCTTGCCCTGTACCCTAAGTACTCCTTAAATGAATTTCCCTATAATTACAAATAAACTGATCCTCTTATACCGCAACACATCCAGATAACCAGCACGGGTAATTTTCAATTGTAATTGCTCGCGTCACTTGTTCTTAATATTACTATTAGTGAGATAATACAGTATCTTAAACCTGGTATATATCTTACAATACGATATGGATTTTGTCAAAACAAGAAAGTTATCTTTCAGTAGGAGATAGATTTGGTCTATCCAAAAGTACCGGACATGGTATAGTAAAAGAAATTGTAAATGTATTGGTTCAGTTAATACCAGAATATATCGTATGGCCTAACAGACAAATGTGCAACATATCATCTACTGTAAGTAATATAAATATTTAGTATATTAATATTTATATCTTGTATAACAAAATGAACTAGTCTTTTAAATGTTGAACAAAACTTTCAGATTTTTGAACGACGTTCAGGTGGTTTTCCTGGTGTTGTAGGTGCGATCGATGGTGTCCATATCAAATGTAAGGCTCCTCCTGGAAATGCTAATGATTATTACAACAGAAAAGGATTTCATTCCATTATCTTGCAAGGTAATTACAATATTTCTTGTCATGTTTTTTCTACATTTTTCATTTGTTCAATATAATTGAATATTTTGTAAGAAACATAAATTTTATTATTAGGTGTATGTGATCACACAGGCCGTTTTATTAATATATACACTGGACTACCAGGCCGTATGCACGATGCTCGTGTTTTTAGATATAGTAACCCGTACGGACAATTAACAAATGCGGAAGATCCATTATTGCCATCACAACTACATTTAATAGGAGATGCAGCATAGGGGAGAGTGGGGCTGGTTGTGCCATGGGGCACAGTGTTCCAGTCGAGATTTCTCGAAATCCGCGCGATCGATAAGTATAATTTATTTTTCCAATATCCTCCTTCGGCATTTGCAAAAACGATAACGTGTTTTGGTTAAAACCTGTAACTTCGAAGGAGAGGAATAAATGTGCGTGTAATTTGGGACATCAAAAGTAATTTTTCTTGCATTATTGCATTTCGTCATAGTTTTGTTTCTGGGATCTTGATTTCTAAAAAGAGAGGTTATTTGTGTTGTTTAGAGTTTTAGGTAACGGTCAAAGCTTAACTTATAGCAAAAATACAGTTTATATTTTTAAATTTATACCTAAAAATGTGTAAAAGGGCACGTGGGGTTCCTTGTTCCATTAAAAAGTGGGGCAGGTTGTGCCAGAAAACATAAAACTGCCAGCAACAGGAATTTTTTTTAAAGGTTATGTTTTGGTGTTTAGGTATAGCTAATATACAATGGTATAGAACTAAATTTTTCTGTATATAACTTCGTACAAATAAATAATCATTAATAATATAGGAAACTACACCTAATGTCCTATAACTTTATTTACACAAGGCTTGTCACACACTGCTCCATGATTTATAAGACTCGGCACATATTACCCCACGTCTATGAACAAAGTGCCCCACGCATGGGGCAGGGTGTGCCAATAGCCTACTTTTAGAAAATGATTTTTTTTTGTGTGAATTAATAGTATTTCATCAATAAAACCTAATATTTAATAAAATTAATACTATGCTAGTTCAATTAAGCGTATAAGAATTGGTAGGTAAGGAAGAAGAGGTTCTTTAATATCATTTCGAAAAAAAGTGGCACAACCAGCCCCACTCTCTCCTACCCTTTACTACATAATTTAATGACTCCAAATAAAGATACCGGTCATTTGACAAGAAAACAAATAATTTACAACACCAAATTATCGTGTATTCGTAGCATTATTGAAAGAACTTATGGTTTTTTAAAAACAATATTTCGAAGG